ATTATCATTGCATTGTTTTTATTCTTTATGTATTTTGGAGTAAATGTCATTAAGGAAAATGGAAAGTAATAGTTTTTTTTCAAAATATTCTTAATATGATTTGCTAATTTTATGTTTGATTAGAATGATATGGATCTTTTAAAAAGAAACTGCAAAAAAAGGCTTTGTTTTAATCTTGATAGCCCTAAGGGTATACTTTCTTAATAATATTTATCTGCAAACAAAGAAAATAAAGAAGTTATAAACTTAAGATATGCAAAATGTTTTGTGATACTGTATTTCTAAGAATGATTGTCCTTTGGATAAAATCCAAATAATACAGAAGTTGGAGTTAAGGATAAATTATAGGCTATATCATATTCAAACTTACATACATATAAAATGATATTTTCCTCTGATAGTATGGTATTTCTTTGCAATCAGAACTTTTCTGTCTACATTGCTTGGGCAAAATGTGTTTCTTTTTGCAATCATAGTAATAGAAAATAGGTCAAGGAAAGCTTGGAAATATAAAATTCAAAATACTCGTCAACAGGGAATCAGTGGCAGCGTAACAGACATATGACCAGAGTCTTAAGCCAGAAATGGATTCAGACTTTCAGAGTAATTTCCCATTCTTTGATGCCATGTGCAATATATATGAACTCCTATATATGTTTCTTGCAATTTGTGTGTGCATGTGTGTCAGTCTGTAAGAATAGAAAGCTTATATATATGATTTTTTTAAAGATCCCAATTAAAGGGAATCATTAAACTGAAAAATATTTTGAAATAAATGAATGTGAATCAACCAGGGATGATAAGCATATTGAAAAGGGAAGTGTCACAATATATGATTAATTAATGTACTGTATGTCTCTCCTGAAACTCCCTTCTTATTCTTGTTTTGGGCTGGTTGTTGTTCCAGGGAATATGATAGACTGCAACCCACTGGAGATTGGTATAATTACTGTCCATTATATTTTTGTTTTATGAATTTTCATTACATATAGATGGCTTCAGAAGTACATAGTCACAAAGGAATCCATTACATAACAATAACTTTAGTATAAATATTACTTTTTTTGGGGGGGAGGGAGAATAAAGGTAAAGAGGTGAAGGCCTACCAGACTTCACCTATTAACCTTCATTATTTTTTCCCCCAAAAAAATATAATGCTAATACTATGGTTATTGTTATTATCACATTATAAACCGATTAGTGACAATTGACATCCTAGCATATCATGGTGAATAACCGCATATGTTTATTGACATTTAAAGCATGTTTCATTAATATGTTCCCATCCCTTCCAGACTATTTTGAAAATAACAGTTCTGCTAAGAATGAAAAAGCTTTTCATTCAGAATATTCAAGGAATAAGCTAATCAGGTCAGATTAGGTAGGCCCTAGTAAGTGATTCCTTGGTTATTAAGCAGTTTTGGAGTCATCTATATGTAAACAAAATTTATAATAAAAAATCACAAAGGACAGGGCATGTATACATGCTCACCTGGTGCCAGTGGGTTTATGGCTGTCATTATTTAGATTTTGTTTATGTATGTCAGTGTATTTTTGTTCTGAAAAAAATATTGTATCCTTATTATATGAATTTAATGAACTAATATATTGAAGTTTGCATAAGAAATGCCATAGGTAATGTTAAAGCTCTTATTTCAGATTTCATTTTCAGTATCACAATTGTATTGTTAGCTGATGCTTCTTATGCATCGTAAGAAAAGGAAAAATGTTGAAGCAATGTTTCTATGTATAGAGTATGAAAATATTTTATTTAGTGGTGGATTCGGTTTTCATGAAACTGATAGAGGCTATATATCCTCATTTTTATTATTATTGTATGTTGTTACTGTTGCAAAACTTGTTTTTTGTTAGTTTATATTGTGCATCATCTAAGCATATAATACATAGATATTATTATTATATGAAATTCATTTTTGAGACTAGAAATTTTGAGATGAATAAGTTTGTGGTTAAATCATTTCATGTGATAAAGGGATTGCAATAAGAAAATCTTTTCTCTTGCTAATAATACTTTAGTTAAATGTACATCTTGCTATTTATGCTTAACTTGTGCTTACATATTCCTTGCATTTTTATTACAGGTAGTAGCACTGCACAGCCCTGTTACATTATATTGTAATTTTCTATCATTCAGAAAAAGTGTAGGGAGAATTTTCATAGTAGAAAAGAAAAATTGGTATAATATTGTATGAGAATGAAACATTTTGAGAATTCCATTTTCTTTATGATATTCACAGTAGTTTTGTGTTAGAAAAATGCAACAAATGAGAAAAAAAATATTGTGCAGTGTTAGAAGATTCCCACTTTTATAAGACTTCATGCAAGTTAGAGTAGATCATTATGAGCTTGCATATGTTTAAGACCTCTTAACTAAAACCTGGAAAAAGGTTAAGTCTGAAAATTCATTAGAGTCTAGTGACTCTACTGAATTAATATATATCAGATAGTTACAAAAAAATCCTAAGTTGCCATAAATTGT